GGGGAATGCAAAGGGGATGGATAGACGAAAAGATTTTCAAAGCTTTTTAGCTTTCTGGTTAAAATTGCAAAAACACTGCCTGATGTGCTGTGCAAACTCTTTTCACTCAATTGCTTCTTAACTTTTTAGCTCCCTTGGCCTGCTTCTGTTGCTAGAACTACTTACATTGTTAGTGAGTGTCTGGTGTATGTAAATGTATGTGTGCTTGTGTTTGTGTGTGTGTCCGCCTGTGTGTGTGTGTGTGTCCGTGTATGCTTGTGTATGAGTGTGTCTGTGTATTTTTGTGAATGTGTGTGAACCTTGCTAAGCCGTGTTGTTTATTTGTTGTAATCGGCGAGTTCTGTTGTATTTTTTGGGTTATAACGCAAAAAAAACCAAAACGTATCACAATTGTTCCAGGCTTAAGCAGCTTTTATCCGGGGACCACAGCTCGAATCCATTGTGGCAACAAAAGCAACATACCCCGGCGCCCTCCTCACTTCCACAACCAAATTTCGTTGAGAAGACCCATTTTCGGTCTTCTCCCAGTAGTATTTCTATGAATTCCAGTTTTGTTATTTGATACCAGAATAACAAAAACAATACCAATAACATCAACAACACCAACATTATCACCAATAATAATACAACTAATTTCCTTCGTAATATAATTACTGTTATAGAGCTGGGTTATCCTCTTGTTTATCAACCAAAAAAGAGCCACCTCTAATATTGGATTCTAAGCAGTTATTGTTATTACTGTTCAATATATATCTATCGTTGTCATTTTTTCCACTTCTTTTTTTTGGCTGCGCCTTTAACTCATCATCAACAAAATTTTTTTCATTTTTAATTCCTTGCTAACTTATTACTGAAAAGCCCTTGAATTGCAAAGGCAAAGCTCTATGCCTATAAGCAATGGCAAGCAGACGACAACGAGAATTTGACAGAAAATACAGTTCATTCAGGTAATTTAGTTAAATTGTCTTCTCATAAGGTTTTTTGCTATTGTTTTTTTTCGTCTCTTCTTTGTTGGTTTATTTATGTTCCACTCTTTTTCACTTTTGTTTGCTTTTTGACGTTACTAAAGTGATTCTAAAAAAAAAAAAAAAAAAAAAA